CGAATGGGTTACCGAGGAGATCAAGGAAGAAATTAAAAACTTTCTGGAAACCAATGAAAATGAACACACAACAACACAACATCTACGGGATGCAGCAAAAGCAGTTCTGAGAGCGAAGTTCATAGCACTACAGACCTACCTCAAGAAGCAAGAAAAATCTCTAATAGACTATCTAACCTCACAACTTAAAGAACTAGAAAGCAAACAAAAAGAAAACCCCAGAGCAAGTAGAAGGAAGGATACAGTAAAGATCAGAGCAGAAATAAATGACATAGAGACCGCCCCCCCAAAAAAAAAAAACAATTCAAAGGTTCACTGAAACAAAGAGCTGGTTTTTCAAAAAGATAAACAAGATTGATGGACTCTTAGCTAGACTCACCAAGAAACAAAGAGAACCCAAGTACGCAAAATCAGAAATGAAAGAGAAGTAACTGACACCACAGAAATACAAAAGATCGTTAACAACTACTATGAACAATTATATGGCAACAAATTCCACAATCTAAGCGAAATGGATGAATTTCTAGAAACACATAGTCTCCCAAAACTGGACCGGGAAGAGATAGAAAACTTGAACAGACCAATAACAACTAAGGAAATTGAAGATATAATCAAGACTCTCCCAGCAAACAAAAGCACAGGCCCGGATGGCTTCACAGGGGCGTTTTACTGAACATTCAAAAAAGAACTAACACCCATTTTCCTCAAACTATTTCAAAAAATTCAAGAAGAAGGAAGACTTCCAAACTCATTTTATGAGTCCAGCATAATTATAATTCCAAAACCAGAAAAAGACATTACAAAGAAAGAAAACTATAGGCCAATATCCCTGATGAACATAGACGCCAAAATCCTAAACAAAATACTAGCAAATCGGATCCAGCAATTCATCAAAAAAATTATTCACTGTGACCAAGTGGGATTCATCCCAGGGATGCAAGGCTGGTACAATATTTGCAAATCAATAAATGTTATACACCACATAAATAAAATGAAGAATAAAAAACATATGATCATATCAATAGATGCCGAAAAAGCCTTCGACAAAATCCAGCATCCATTTCTGATAAAAACGCTCAGCAATGTGGGAATAGAGGAATCATATCTCAACATAATAAACACCATATATGAAAGACCTACAGCCAACATCATACTCAATGGGCAAAAATTAAAAGCATTTCCCTTAAGAACAGGAACAAGCCCTGGCCGGTTTGGCTCAGCGGTTAGAGCATCGACCTGAGGTCCAGAGAGTCAACTGAGGCTTAAGGAAGCAATATGACAAGTTCACACACAATGAGAAGCAGAGGTTTCCAACCCAGGTCTGTCTGCCTCCCAAGACTGTACTTCTGCCCCTCTGGGTTACTCCCAGCCCCCAAGTAGAAGGAAGTCTCATGTAGCTCTTGAGTGACAGGGCCAGTGCAGAGGGGAAGTTACAACAGGAGGGATGGTCTTATACTTTTTCCTGAAATCTTCTTTCTAAGCCACCTTTTTTTGTGTGTACACCATTTGTGTGCAGAACAATTATGTGCTGGGCTTATGCTCACAACATCCTTCTGAGTAGCAGAATTTGAGGTTTGAGATCACAAGTCCTTGCACAAGCCAGTAACTGCTGGAGCCCAGCTGGTGGGTCCAAGGCTGACCCGGAACACTGCATAGGGCTCTGCCTCCCTAAATTTTGGGTCTTCTTTGAAGCTGGGTGGGCAGTAAGAAATAATGGGCCTGGGTGTCTAAGAAGAAGGGATCACAGAGGAAAAACAAGAACAGATCAGGAAGGCACCTTGCTGCCCACCCCCCACAGCAGAAGAAGCTTTTTCCCACTTTTCAGGGGACCTTTGACCAAGCTCAGAAAATTCCTGGCTGATGGGGGCAGGGAGTGGAGCTTACTGAATGGAAGAAACTATTTTCCTTTTCAAGGGAGACTTTGGGTAATTCCACTCCCTTTCCTCTGCCAAGCTTTATCTTTGCCTAAGAATTCACACAAGTCCCCAGGGGCCCCTGCTACACAGCTGCTGCTCCTCCTCTCTCCATTGATAGGTAAGAAGTGGGTCAGATTTAAAACATGTTTTTTTTTTAGTAAGCATTTTGTCCAATCATCAGTGATGGCCCACACGACCTGGGGGGTCTTAAGGGGTGGGGGTTAGTTTCCCCCTTTTCGTTGCTCCAGTGGAGGCCAGGGGAGAAATGACCAATGGCTGGCATAGACAAGGGGGGAACCTCCCACCTCCCACTGCCCCAGGGCCAGTGCTGTTTTCCTGGGGGTGGGTGATTTCCAGTTCCAAAAAAGGATCGGCAGGCAGAGTACCTTGGTAGAGAAAAAGGACAACCAGGAAAGGAGATTAAATTTATCACATTTATTGAGCCCCTACCTTAATCCCAACTAGTGCCCTGGGCACAGGTGATAGGGATGCAAGCTTTACCCTAAGGGACCTCGCAGCTGAATCAGGGAGACATTTCCACCGTGGGATTCAACCCTATGTCAACTACAGCAGACTGAGACTCAGAGAGCCCGGTCACCGACTCTGCCTGCTGTGGTGTGGGGGAGGCTTCTAGAAAAGATGACGTTTGACCAGGGCCTTGAGGGATGAGTAGGAGTTTGCATGGTAGAAGGGGTTTCTAGAGTACAGTCTGGGCAGTGGGAAAAGCCAACCGGGTGGTGAGAAACAGCAGCACGTGTGTGGAAAAACTCAGCTGTGGCCAGAGTATAGAATTTGGGGGAAAGGAAGGTGGGTGTGGAGGAGGGATAGCACACAACTGGAAGGCAGGGGCACAGAGGAAATGGGACTGGAGAGATGACCGGTGCCCGCCCAAGAGAGGAAACAAAGGTGCCTACAGAGTGGAGGACAAGCCAGGACTTGGCTCAGACCCAAGGGGAAGAGGTCCTGGGTATCACCGATGACTGTGGGGGCCTCTCCACGGGAGCAAGTTCTCCCACCGGGATCGGGGATGGGTGTCCGCAGGGCGGGGTGGGGGAAATAGGGCGGGGAGGAAGCCAGGCAGCCCGGGGAGAGAAAGTCCAACCCCCGCAGGCGTTCCGCGTGGCCTGGCCGACCTCCCGGCCTGGGCAGGGCGGGTACAGCGGAGCTGCTTGCCAGCCCCCGCGCCCGGGCGTTCCTGGAGACAGGTAGGACGGCGGAGGGACAGCAACCCGGCGGCGGGGCGGCTCACCCGGCGCTGCTGCAGGGATTTGCCCGCCTGGTCCGTAGGGAGAACGGTGCCGAGGAAGCGGGGAACCCCGGCTCTGTCCGTCGAGGTGGGAGCTGCGCGGGCCACCGCTCCGCATCGCACGCCCTCGGGCCGGGGCGGGAGTCACCGGCGGGAAGGGGACGCCGGGAGCCGCGGAGGCGGGTGCTGGGCGGACGGATGCAACCCGGGCGGCCCCGCGCCGCCGGCTCCAGCATCCTGGGCTCTGACCCCCGGCGGTCTCTGTTCTCCGCGCGGGCGCCCCTTCCCGGAGGTGCAGCCGGGGCCTGATCTCCTGGGCCCCGGGTCCTCCGCCCGGCCGCACGTGCCCTGCCCTCCCGCGCCGCACGTCCGAGGCCACAACTTGCCGCCTTGGGGGGCTGCGGGCGGGTCCGCGGCGGGTGGGGTGGCGCGGCCGCGGGAACGCCCCCTGCGGCGGGCGGACCTCGAGAAGATCCTTGCGTGGGGGGCGGACGGAGGAGGGCGTCGCCTCCCGCCCCGCTGGTGCCGGTGCCAGGGGGCGACGCGCGGGGACCCTAGGCGGGAGCCTCGCAAGCCCCCAAGCGCAGGCGTCCCTAGTAGCACTTATAAGTGAAGTTCTTTCCTCCAGTCCTTTCTTCAGTCTCAGCCCTGCTCACCCTCCCCTGAAGGAGAAGCACCACCTGTCGCTCATCTCGTCTCCGCCCTAGAACAGGCCCGTCCACTAACGCCTCTTCCCCCGCGCCGCGGCAGTCCCAGCAGGGGCGGGGGCGGGGAGGCAGCCCACCACCCGCCTCACCCCCGCCTCACCCCCGCCTCACCCCCGCCTCACCCCCGCCTCACCCCCGCCTCACCCCCGCCTCACCCCCGCCTCACCCCCGCCGGCCCAGGGGCCTCGGGTTCCGCTGTGAAAAGAATGGCTACATGAATCACTGCTGGTGCTAAATTAACCGTTACGTGTGCCAGGTTACATTCTGCTGAACCTGGCTTATGTTTACCGTTTTATCCTTGTAAACTGAAGTCATTTTATACTTTAAAAATTAAAAGAACATTGGTAGAATTACAGATTTTAAAATTTAAGCATACAAGTCAGTACTCGTTTAATGTTTTGTACTGAACAGGTCACACTGCTTATGTCATTCTCCAGCACAGTGACATGTACACACATGCACACATACTGCACACACTGCACACTGCACCCAGACACTGCACATGCACACCCTGCATGCATGCACACACACGAGTCCACAAGGCACTCTGTACGTACACACATACCACACTGCATACGTGCACACGTGGACTGCTTAAGGGAACTGCCGTGGAGCTTCCCCAACACAGAAATACTGGCTTGGGTTTAAAGTAGGATACAATTAACCTTTTTAAAGCATTTACATTGAATTTTTCACGTCTTAAGAGACTTTTAAAAAATCTATATTAACGGGTTTTTAAACAACTTGTGGAGTGGCTTTTTAAAAGGAACCTCTTGCTGAGTTAAAACAGTGAATTTGCTTTAAATCTGAACTCCCTGCCTTTCAACAAGGAAGTATTTTTAATTGCTTCCCCCAACCCTGAAAGGAGTTGCTCTTGAACGCTTAGAAGCCAGTCGTAGACGGGCCTTTTCTCCTTCCCCGGTGTGGGCGGCGCGGGCGGCGCTCTGCTGTGTTTCACTGCAGTTTCCTCCCGTCCGACACTCTGCGGGTCTCCGGGTCACCTGTGGGGAGCCGGAAGGAGGGAGACGCGCCCGCCCCTCCCCCCGTCGAGCGAAGCCGCCGTCGGAGGCCGGGGCTCGGGGGGCGGTGCCTGGTCCGCCCCGCCCGCTCCAACCCCTGCCTCGCCCGCAGGCCGAGATGCAGCTGCTCCTGCTCGTGCCGCTGCTGCTGGCCCCGGCGCCCGGGTCCTCGGTGAGTGCGGCCCTGTCCGGCCCCGATGACCCTGCTGGGGACACGGGTGCCGGCTGGAGTCCCCGACCCCCGGCCGTGGAGACAACCCCAGGAGAGGGCCGAGGGCCAGGAAAATGGGGTGGGAGGAGGCGAACCCTCAGTCTGAGCTCCTTCAAAAAGAGGTAGGGCCCCGGGGTCGGCTGACCAAGGTGCCCAGAACTGCTCCTCTGGCTGGGGGTGCAGTTTGCAGTTGTAGGGATGGCAACTTTCCAGCATCACCCCCCTTCAGAAGGTGCTGGGTGCACACTCGTGCTGGGAAACCCTCTCCTGGGGGGGTCTTCCAAAGTGGAAGGAGAGGGGCAATGCTGGCACCAGTTGAGGTGCAGAACGAGGTGGCCCATACCACTAGATGCCTGCCATCTGCCTGGGACCAACTCTGCTGTCCCTCAGATGTGCAGGCCTAGGGGATTGGGTGCCAGCCGTTCCGCACCCCCTGGGGGCTAGCGTCTGGAGCAGGGCTGTCAACAGAGCGGAGACCATGGAGACGCTTTGTGTCTGTGCTCCATTGAGTTAGACTCTGCGTCCATGTGGCTGTTGAGCACAGGAACTGTGGCTGGTGCGCCTGAGGAACTTGATTTTTTTACTTGATTGATTTTAATTAATTTAAATAACCACATGGTGCTAATGGTTACTTCATTAGTACACATTTAGAGAGGGGACACAGAAAGCCAACTGGTGATTAGAGTAGCTGTTTCATTAACAGGAACCCCAAGGACAGGGCTCCCTGGAGAGCACATGTGGATCCTGAGGAGAGGAGGGAATCTTCTAGACCGATGGACCTATCTTTGGGGGGAGGGTCTGCAGAGCTGGGCTTGGTGGGATGGAAGGCACCGAGGCAGCCAGGCCCGTCCTGCTTCTGGAGAGCTCTCCACAGGAAAGACCCACAGCCTTGCCCAGCCTCTGTGAGACAGGCGGTAGAAAGGACCGACCTGTTTGCTGCCTTGAGGTGGGAGGAAAATGCCGCTCTGTGGAATGTGAGTTGAAGATGAGAAGGGCACCAAAGGACTGGCAGGGATGGACATCAGCGGTGGGCAGCCGGCACCCCTCCAAAGTTCCACTGATCCAGCTGGGCCAGGTCGGAGCAGTGGGTGGCCTAGAGCCTTCTTCCTCATGTCCTGTCCACCACCTGGTTCCCACAGTCAACTCTGCCATGCCATGGTCCTTGCTCCCTAAATGCCACATTGGAGGCCCTTAGTGCAGGTGTCCTCCTAGTAGCTGGGTGCATGAAGGCCACATCTCAGTGGAAGGGTTCACGACACCAGTGTCAAAACCCCAGGATGAAACCCAGAGACACCCCTAACAGCTGCATGAACCTAAGCACATCACCAGGCCACAGAGTCCTTCAGTTTGGGGGTAACACTGCCCACCTACAGGTTGCCAGGCAGATGAAATGACTCAAGGTCCACAAAGTGCCCTGGGTCCTATCAGGTGCTTTCTTCCTTAGAAACACCTGCGTAGCCTTCTCCGACCTCGGCAGTGGGGGAACTCAGATGGGGCTGGGCCCGCCGGGTTAACTCTCCTGCCCCCTCCTCCATTGTCTGGGGAGGCTGTGGCCCAGGCTCCCTGCTTCGCTGGCCCTGGTTCTGGTTCTAGTTGGGGCGGGATCCACCCCAGCGTCCTCGGTAGTCCTGGCAGTTCTCCGGCTGTTGAAGCACTAACCGCGGGTAGAGGATTAAGAAGGAATAAAGCAGAGAGAGGCTCTGCCACCACGCCCCTCCCCGACCCGAGCCAGGGGAGGCTTCCTGAGGCCATGGACTTCCCACCCCCTTGCCTCCCACCCCACCCGCCCTCTCATACCCTCTCGCACCTGTGCACACTGGGCAGCCGGTCCCCCTGGGAAAGGGGCTCCTCGCCCCAGGCAGGAGGTACAGGAGGAGCGGGTGGGGTGCTGAGAGCAGCAGGAGGCAGGTGACGACAGGCCAGGGTGACTGCGGACTGGACCAGCTCATTCTGGCTTCACACCGGCGGCTCATGGTTTGGTAATTATAGGGAAACAATGTGCCTGGGCTGCTCGTGGCTGAACGTGCTGGCTTTCCTGAGCCGGTGTGGCGCAGCGGACAGGGCACAGCTCCAGGGGCTGGCAGGCTGGGCCCCTCAACCGCGCCCCGGGGCCCTGGGCCAGCGGATGCCTGCCTCACAGGTTGGGGGGGTGTTGTAAGGCTTGGTACTTAGAAGGCCCTGCGCTGGGCCAGTCCTCCCCCCTCCATCCTGGTACCCACAAACTGGCCGAGTGGCAGGGTGCCCCTTGTTGCCTTTCCACACCAGGAAGCCCAGCCCCGCCACAGGGAAGGGTGGCCCGGGGAGGCTCAGTGGCCGTGCTTCAAGGGCAGGACCGACATCCAGACAGGCCTTGGTCAGGGGGTAATTAGTAACCAGGCCAAGGCCGGCAGGATGAGAACGCAGCAGGACCTGTGGGCAGCTTCTTAGAATGTGGTGAGGAGGCTGTGTGTGTGGTGGGGGCAGTACTGGTCGTCCCTGAAAGTCACCTTCCACCCTGGACTCTCAGTATCTTCCCCGTTAAAACAGGAGCTTGATCAAGTGCATTCCAGTTTAACTTGCTTTAAGAGAACACCTTGATATTCGGGTTCACCGGTTTTCAAAACCTTGGCCATTTTGTCCCAGTTAGAACTGAAGGGTAAGTCATTTGAAGAGTGAAAGCTAAGGTCTTTGGTCTGGCTGACCCTTCCTTCTTGCTTTCGTGTGTGGTTCAGCACATTTGGTATGATTTGTGGTGACTCAGGGTTCTGGTTCTATTATAAAGCAAGGGCTCACAGGGGGAGAATAGCCTGCTTTCCCGCATTAGGGTTTGAGTTCTTTCTCTGGAAAATGGGAGTGGTCTTTTCCCCTAGAGATTCTTATGTGGTGATACCCTAAAACAAAGGCCCCTTCCAGCAAATAGGACATACTTCCAGTACACCCCTGCCACCTGGCAAAACAGCGAGGTCAAATCTAGCACCTGTCCAGCTCCTTGGGACTCATCCATATCCTACTTGGTTCCCCAGGGAGATAGGTGGGAGCAGAGGCCTGGGTGAAGCTGACCTGCCATTGTGTCTACTGGTTTCTGTGTGGCTCCCTCTCTCTGCCTCGCTCTTCTTCATGCACTGGAGTAACACTGCCCACCCGCAGCTTGCTGTGCAAATGAAATAAGTCAAGGTCCACAAAGTGTCCTGGGTTCTATCAGTTGCTTTCTCCCTTACAAACACCTGCCTTCTTCCTCCTCAGCTGTTTGTGAGCCCCAATGTCAGGTTGGTTGTTCTGAGGATTAAATGAGAACATGTGTGTAGCATGTAGACTTCTGATTGCCAGCTTCAAGGTGCCAGGTCTTTCTGGGGGGAGACTTTCTATTAGGATTATATTCCTGCTATGGGGTCCCAAATAACAGTCCTTCAACAAGAGAGACATGATCACTCTCTCACTTTAACCCTGGTCAGAAGTCCAGGGTTGTTTGGCCCCACAAAGCCCTCTAGGCTCCTTCTATCTTTGCTTCACTGTTTGAAGCCTCTATTCCTAAATTACCTCATAGTGTAGAAGGCTGCTCCCACTCCAGCCATTACATCTGCTTCCAAACAGGGACGAGTACAAAAGAAAGAAGAAAAAGGACAAATGCACATGCAAGCTATCTCTTAAGGAGATTACTGGGGGGCTGCTGGCAACACTTACTTACACCTCATTGATGAGAATTTACTGATTTAGCCAAGGTTAGCTGCAGGAAGTCTGGGGAATGAATTTGGGGAGTGGCAGCCTGGTATTCAGCTAAGAGTCAAGGGTTCTCTCACAGTGGGAGAAGAAAGATATTGGGGGACTCCTGGGAGTCTGCCCTAGATTGGCAGGAAGAGCCCCCCACCCCGGATTAGATTGATTTATTTAATAGGCCAGAACTACACACTTCCAGAAGTGAGGTCACCACACAGGCAGAAGCAGGTGTAAGCGGGTTTGGTGTGGCTCTTCCACTCTAGATCCTGGTGAAGCATGGCACCTCTTGTGGGTGACATTACCTGCACAGGTGAGGCCCTGCCTACCTGAGACCCACCCTGTTCTTCCTGCCCTTTTACAACTCCCTGCTGGAATAGTCTGCTCTGCTGACCCAGGGGCTCCGTGCAAGGCAGTGTTTGCAGGCACCTTGATTGTCAAACCACACTCTGCACAGGCCAGTGGGATGGCATCGTCAGGGGAGCGGTCATCTGCCAGCTTGGTGGTTTCCCCACCATGTCTGGCAAGGAGCAGGAGCTGCTGGTGGGGGCCACTCTGACAGATGCAAAGACCGGCTCTCAGCTCCTTCTGGTGAAGCTGGCTAATCCTGTAAATTATGTTCAGGATGTCTGGTGGTGTTGCTGGTTCTTGAAAAGTTGGCTCCAGGAGAAAGAGCGCCCCAGACTCCCTGAATGGCCGGAAGAGTGTTGTTTTTAGGCAGGGGGCGGGGGTGAGCCTCTGGGTGCCCCTGTGGGAGCTCTGAGTGCTGACTCAGGTCCCCGAGCGTGTCTTCTCCTCCAGGCTCCCAAGGTGAGGAGGCAGAGTGACACCTGGGGCCCCTGGGGTGACTGGAGTCCCTGCACCCGGACCTGCGGAGGGGGCATCAGCTTCCAGGAGCGCTCCTGCTACTCGAAGAGGTAGGGGAGGCCAGCCTGGGAAAGCAGGGGAGGCTCGAGGGACCGAGGGATTGGCTGGGTCCTGGGCCAGGCGTCCTAGACCAGCCTGGGTCCACAGGGAGGACCCACCACACAACAGGTTTGTCCTGGGTACTGCATGGATGGAGTGTTTGAAATCAAGCCATTTCCCACGTACTTACGCTTGATTTCCATAATTAACTGGATTTCAGAGGACCGGGAACCATGCCTGCTCCATCCAGCCTGAATCTCTAGCTCCTGATGTGGGGCGGGCGTATGGCAGGTGCAGTCGGTTCCTGTTCATTTCTCTCCAGCACTAACCTGTGCAGTTTCCCCACCTTCAGCCTTTGTCAAGCACAGACATTTCCCGCTTCAAGTGCCTCAAGACCTCCGATGTGTCCTGTGCTCTGATAGATGCTGTAGAGGGGTGGGCACAAAAGGAGGCGATGCCACCTTGCCTGTCAGTGGGTTTAAATCACTTCTGAGAACCTGTGTGAAGACAAAGGGGAGATATTATTCTAGCACCTTGTATTCATTAACTCCCAGGTGGGGATATGTTACAGCCTATTTTGTCTCCAGAGCAGAATTTGGGGGCGTCTCTGGAAATTTGCCCTCAGAAGCAGAGTGGCCCCGAGTTAGACAAACTCCAGGATAGTTAGGTTCTGTGTCTCCTCCCAAATAAACATGGGCCTCGGTGCACTGGCCCAAGGGGTTGTGTGTGTGGGCACTCCCCCCAACACACACGGACTTGCCGCCTCTCTGGCCCACAGAGCAGTCCCACAGAGGCCGGGGCCTGTGGGAGAGCCCCTGGAGGGGTTGGGGTGTTGGGTTAGGGTCGGGGCTTCCTGGTGCTCTTGTCCGCAGGAGAGATGGGGGCTCTAGCTGCGTGGGCCCTGCTCGCAGACACCGCTCTTGCCACATCGAGGTAAAGCCCCTGCAGGAAGGGGGGACCAGCTACCTAGATCCCCTTCCCAGCTGACATGCAGGCCCAGATGCCCGCCTGTCAGTGAGCAGCTGGGGTTGCTGGGGGAGTCCCTTCCCTCCCCTCCCCAAACGACAGAAATGAGGGCCTGGACAGCTTGTTCTGGAGCAGCCCAAAGCCCCTGCCCCTGGGGGGAGCCCTGGGACCACCCCGCCTCCCCAGGCCGCTGCAGGAGTTCAGGACAGGACCCGACCTCCGGGCACCAACGGGGCGGCGGACCCCAGGGGTCGCCCCACTGCCCCCGCGCCCCTCTGCCCCGCAGAGCTGCCCCGAAGGTGCCCGCGACTTCCGGGCAGAGCAGTGCTCGCAGTTCGATGGCCTGGAGTTCCAGGGCCGCAGGTACAGGTGGCTGCCCTACCTCGGCGGTAAGTGACCCGCGCCCCTGTGCGGCCGCCTTCCTGTGCGCCCCCCATCTTCTCGGGGTGTCTTTCACACACTGACTCTTCGTTCACATTGCTGTTACCATGTTGTCGCTGCTTTGTCGACGACGTTTTGAGGACTCCGCGTACCCCAGCATGTGCCCATGGCCCACCGCAGCGGTGGTCGCCTTGAGGCCTGTGCGCCCTTTCCCCGCACACGTTTTCGCGAGCATGGCTGTGCGCTGCCTTTTCCAGGCCTGCTGTGGCTCGGCCCCAGAGCTTTCCCTGTGAGGCTCCGGACGGTGAGGGGGCCGGTCTGAGTCTGGCAAAAGCCCAGGTACTCAGGCCCTGGGCCCGAGGGCCCGCTCGGGGTAGCTGAGGAGGGTGTATGTACGTTGTTCGTTGTTAGAGCAACATAGTTCAAGGAAAAACCCCGAAACACTAATGTGTACGTAATTAAAACACTTCAGATGAGTCAGGAGATAGCTTAGGATGATTCTGTTGAGTATGACTTTTGAGTGCAAATCCCTTCTGGACACTGGCATTCTGGGTTCCAGGTCACTGACCATCATCTCCTGTGTGTGCTTTGGGGGAGGGGAGGGGTGTCCCTAGTGGGGACCAGTGGTGTTCATGGCTCCTCCTGAATTCTGAGGTAAGCATATATTGAAAATAATTCAAACATACCCATATTATAGAAACAGTGGAACACAGAGAAAAGGTTACAGAAGGTCCCAGAGGGACACCTTCTTTGTTGTGGAGGTGATTACAATCCTATTAGCACTTGGGGGCTGTTTAAACAATGTATATAATATTTAGATAAATATAAAAATTAAAACAAGAAAACAAAGGACCTCTTTCATAGGATCACTGGTAGCATCTCATTCTGGCCCTTTTCACATTACATATTTGTAATTATGACATAGTACCATTTTGCATCTGTTATAAGCATCTTCCCACATTACTGTATATTCTTCATAATTTTCTAAAAATCCTCACCAAGGATATTTTTTACTGATCTGAGAGAGAAAGGGAGGGAGGGAGAGAGAGAGAAAGAGAGAGACATTGATCAGTTGCCTCCCATACGTGCCCTGATCGGGGATCAAACCTGCAACCTAGGTATGTATCCTGACTGGGAATCGAACTCGCAACCTTTTGGTGTCTGGGATGACATTCCAATCCACTGAGCCACCTGGCCAGGGCGAGTCTTCATAATTTTTAACAGCATTGTTAGCGTACATAATGTTCTTCCGATAGATCCTTAACTGAACATATAGAGATTGTTAACACTTGGGGTATTGCAGATAATGCTGAGATAGACCTCTTCGAGTGTCTAGTTTTTTCCTCATTCTGGGATTTCCCTTGGACTTGAACCCCAGAGATGCAGTAGTTTTGTGGAGAACATCCCCCCCCCCGGGATGGGGGTGGGACTCTGAGCCACTTGTGGGGTGCTGCTGCAAGGGCTCCCCACACCTCCCAAGTTTGTGCTTCTGGCCCTGCCCACACTCCACTGTGACTAGGAGAGGCCTTGAACCTCACTAGGATCTCAGCTTTTGCCTTTTGCCTGCCTCAGCCCCAAACAAGTGTGAGCTGACCTGCATCCCCCAGGGGGAGAGCTTCTACTACAAGCATAGGGACGCCGTGGTAGATGGGACACCCTGCGAGCCTGGCAAACGAGATGTCTGTGTGGATGGCATCTGCCGGGTGAGTGTCCCCCACCCCCCAGCAGGTGTCTCCCTACCCTGTGCCAGCAGGGCCAGTGACCCTCATGAGCTTGATGTCTTCTCAAGATTAGCTTCTAAGCTGCCTTTCGTCACAGATGCCCTATGATCTTTTTACTATGAAAACCTTTGCCCTATGAAAACTTGTTTTCATAAGAGCAACGCTCTGGATGGCAAGTTACAGAACCCAACTAAAACTGACTATTTATTTATTTATTTATTTATTTATTAATTATCCTCACCCGAGGACATTTTTTGTTCAGATAGAGTGAGAGGGAGAGAGAGAAACATCGACATGAAAGGGACACATCGAGTGGCTGCCACCCACACGACCCATCCAGGGCCGGGGACAAACTGCAACCGAGGTACATGCCCTTAGCGGGAACCGAACCCGGTCTCTCTGGACCGCAGGCCGACGCTCTAACCGCTGAGCCAAACTGGCCAGGGCTTGAACTGACTTTTTAAAAAGAGCCATCAGGATATGGGCAGTGTGGCTGGCTGCAGGTGTCCGAATGCTGCTGCTGGAAATGTCTGTCCTTGCCTTTGTCCTCTCTGGGGGTCAGCGTTAGGGTTAGGCAGGTTCCTTCCGTGAGCCTGAAGATGGCCCCCGGCAGCTCCCGGCTTTGGCTGTCCCAGCCTGGCGACTCCCTGGGAACAGGTGCCCCATCCCCAGGGGTTTCAGTAAGCTGGGTTGCCTCTGTTTTTTTTTAACTTGGGGCTCCCTTCAACCACTCTCTTTGAACAAGGCTTACAGCCCCCTGATTTGCCCAAGTCTACGGGTGGGGAGCTCTATCCAAGCTCTGTGGGAGAGAGGTGGTCCCACAGGAAAATGAGGTGTTAGTGCCAGAGAAGGGGAGATGGTTGCTGAGCAGGCAGAAGAGTTGGGTTGTCAGCCATAGGCCAGACCCAAGTCTTACTCGGCCCTGAGATCTCCGAGCTGTGTGGTTCATCTGAGTTTTTTCAAATTGTTGCAAATCTCCAAAAATTCCAATATATTTATTGAAAAAAAATCCACATTTAAGTGGGTGGACTCATACACTTCAAATCGATGTTGTTCAAGAGTCACCTATAGTCACTGCTCCTCCCTAACCAGGCAACCAGGGTTCGAATCCTGGTCTCTCCCGTCACTCCTGCATCTCTGCCCGGCAGGTCGTTGGCTGTGACCACAAGCTAGACTCGTCGAAGCAGGAGGACAAGTGTCTGCAGTGTGGGGGTGATGGCACGACCTGCTACCCCGTCACCGGCACCTTTGATGCGAATGACCTGAGCAGAGGTGGGGGTCCTCCAGAGGTCTACAGTCACTTGAGACAAGGGTCTGTTGTCTGTCCCTTCCTTGCTGGTCTCCTGCTCTGGCCGAGTCACCGTCATGGCACCGAGAGGGTCCGATCTGGTGCTCAGGTCATGCCTGAGAGGCCTGAGGTCATGGCTCAGGGCGGAGACCAAACCCTTTCACAGGAGCCCGTGGACCACCCATCCAGCGTAACCTCCTACTGCCGCCACCCAGCTGCCCCTCTCGTCCCTTCCCCATCTGCTGCCCCTCTGGCCTCTGTAAAGCTGTCTCCTCTTCAGGAAGTCTTCCCCAGCAGCCCACCCTGCTGCCTCCTCCTGGCCCTTTCCTCACCCATCTGTGCTGGTGGGCGCGTGGTGTCCTCAGGGCCAGCTCCTCCCTATGGCTCGAGTGGTCCCAGGGTCTCTCCGCTTCCTCAGGCTACAACCAGATCCTCATCGTTCCCGTGGGGGCCACCAGCGTCCACATCGAGGAGGTGGCCGCCAGCAGGAATTTCCTGGGTGAGGATGGTTTGGGTCTGGGAGTCGGGGGCCGAGGCAGGGAGGCTGGTGGCCCTGGCAGCTGACCGGGGGCTCACCCCACACAGCGGTGAAGAGCGTCCAGGGCGAGTACTACCTCAACGGGCACTGGACCATTGATGCCGCCCGCGCCCTGCCCGTTGCCAGCACTGTCCTGCACTACGCGCGGGGTGCTGAGGGGGACCTGGCACCCGAGCAGCTCCATGCCCGCGGCCCCACCTCGGAGCCCCTGGTCATCGAGGTGAGCAGGGCTGGCAGGAGAGACCTCTGGGGTGAAGGGGGCACCTGGTCCCCTGGAGACTGTGGTAGATACCTTGGGCCTGGGGCCCGCAGGAGGGCTCTGGAACGAGGTGAGGGGGAGCTGTTGGTGACAGGCCTCAGTGAGGACTCCCCCGCACAGCTCATCAGCCAGGAGTTCAACCCCGGCGTGCGCTATGAGTACCATCTGCCCCTGGACACCCCCAGGCCCGGCTTCAACTGGAGCCACGGCTCATGGGGTGACTGCAGTGCTGAGTGTGGTGGAGGTGAGTGGGGAGGGTGGTTCTCTCTGGGGGCACCCCAGCCCTATGAGGGAGGTGGACAAATCCATGAGACATCTGGATGTCATGGGGTTCACCTTGGGGGAACCCAGGGGTCAGGGGACTCCATAAAGGTCCCCACCTAAGCTCGGCCAGTGTGGCTCAGTGGTTGAGCGTCAACTCATGCACCAAGAGGTCGCTGGTTCGATTCCCGGTCAGGACACATGCCCAGGTTGTGGGCCAGATCCCCAGTGGGGGGGCATGCGGGAGGCGGCCAGTCAATGTTCTCTCTCATCAATGTTTCCATCTCTCTCTCCCTTCCTCTCTCAAATCAATAAAGAAAAAATTTTTTAAAGACAAAGGGCCCCCCGCTGAGCTAGGAGCAGCACAGAGGGTTCCCGAAGGCTGTAGCATCTCCCAGGAGAAGGTACTCCTGGTAGTAGAGGCGGAGCCTGCAGCTGTCAAAGCGGGGCTTGGTCACTCACAGATAAAACCTGAACCTTGCCCTGGCTGCTTTGGCTTAGCGGTTCGAGCATTGGCCCGCAGACCAAAGGGTTGTAGGTTCGATCCCTGTTTCCTCATCTGTACGTTGGAGGTGATGATGGCACTTACCCCAGGGGTCATTTGAAGCTTCAGATGACGGGAACGGCGCCTAGTCCAGAGAAGGCGTTTGGTGAATGTTACTCACCAGCTGCCCCGTGGCCGGACCTCTGCAGGTCACCAGTCCCGCCCAGTGTTCTGCACCTTCGACAGTGAGGTCTACCCTGACCACATGTGCCAGCACCAGCCTCGGCCGGCCAACCGCCGCCCTTGCAGCCCTCACCCCTGCCCTCAGACCAAGCGGTGAGGCCCTTGCCAGCCCCCTCCACCCATAGTGGGGCCCAAGCACTTGGGTGGGGGATTGGGGTGCCTAGGCTGTTTTAGGTGTTGAGCAAAGAGGTTGGGTGGCTGAGTGGGGGTGGAGGCGGCTGTCACCTGAGGAGGCTGCTGAGGAGCCTGAGCGTGAGGCCTGTGTTCGCACAGAACCCAGCGCGTCCAGGCTGGCGGCCGGCAGGAGGGCTGGGGAAGGTACTGGAGGCCCTGTCTGTCTGAGCCGTCAGGGGCTTGGCTCAGCAGATGCCCAGGAGTGGGCCAGGGATTGGGCCAAAGGGCCTGAGGGCGGGCGTCTGCAATGCCTTTGTTCGTGCACAAAGGACCTCTTACCTGCACCAGCCCAGAGCGTGGCACCTTGCTGGGGCCCAGCGTGTGTGTGGGAACAGGTAATCTGCAGGCCACAGGCTCCCTGCAGCCCCTTCCACCCTCGTGGCCTTGGTGGCAGCTGGCCTCTCGGGATGGTGGTGGGCTTGGCTTTGCATGTGTGGTGTGGGCTGCCCTTTCCTCCGGTCCTTGTGTCCCAGGGCCAGGCAGGGCCACTCTGGGCCCTCCACACAAGGGTGAGCACAGCCCCTCTGGGAGATGTCCTGAGGGTCAGACCCTGAGGGGATGGAGTCTGGCTGGGGTGACAGGAGCTGGTGAGAAGGCGAGAGGGAGATGCGGTGAGGACAGGACAGCTGGGAGGGAGGCAGCCTGGCTCGGGTGGAGGGCCAGCACCCAGTGGTGGGAGGTGGCATGGGGCTCGGGGTTGCCCTTTGTGCAGAGCTCTTTGCCCCCGGCTGCAAAGCCCTGGGAGGTCGGCGGATGGGCCTGGTGGGGATCCTCAGTCTACTCCTGTGTGTGGGAGCTGGTGCCCTCTGGGGCTGGGCTTCGGCCCCTGCTGCTGAGCCAGCCGTGCCATTCCTGCTCCCCGCCAGCTGGAGGACAGGGCCCTGGACGCCCTGCTCGGCCTCCTGCGGAGGTGGCTCCCAGTCCCGCTCTGTCTACTGCGTCTGGTCTGACGGGGCTGGTGGCCAGGAGCCTGTGGAGGAGGCCCAGTGTGCAGGCCTGCCTGGGAAACCCGCTGCCACCCAGGCCTGCCACCTGCAGCGCTGTGCAGCCTGGCACGAGGAGCCCTGGGGAGAGGTGAGGCCAGGCTGGGCAGGGGTGGGAGGAAATCAGAATCTGGGTCTTGGGCCTAGGGCAGGGCTGGGAGGTTTGTTCTTTGCCATGGAAACAGATCCTGGGAGTTAAAGTGACCTGCTGGGTGGGTGTGGAAGCTGTGGCCCAGGCTGGGACGAGAAGCAGGTGCTTGGGCTCCTGCTTCAGTGCTCATCCTCCCCTGGGGTCCCAGCAGGGTGAAAGGCTTTGCTTTGGCAGGAAGAAGCAGCTGGACACATTGTTCGGGGGCAAGGGAGGGGCTCTTACAGTCTGGGGCTGTTGGTCATGGTTCCCGACACCCACATATGAACAGGCGCAGACAAGGGAAGATGGAAATGCACCTTAGCCTGGTGTCAGCATCCATGGTTCAGGCTATGGGACCTCAGGGGAGTGATTCAGCCTCTCTGAGCTGGACATAGCAGTAGGGTGCTATCCACCCTCCATGCTGGGCCGGTGGGCTTCCAGCTGTCTGGCCCAGGGTGGCTCCTAGGGGCGAGGACAAGCTGACGGCCTGGTCCTTACAGTGTTCGGTCAGCTGCGGTGCTGGAGTCCGGAGGAGGAGTGTCACTTGCCGGAGTGACCAGGGGTCTCTGCTCCATGCCACAGCGTGCTCCTCTGAGGACCAGCCGCCTCTCACTGAGAGCTGTGTGCATGATGACTGTCCCCCCATCAATGACCAGGCCTGGCACGTAGGCGCCTGGGGTCTAGTGAGTACTTGCTCCGCCTCAGTACCTGCTGCCCAATCCTGTCCCTTGGTCTCTGGCAGGTGCTGCACCTGTGCCTGTCCTTGGGTCTGACATGCATTGTCAAGGACCTCCCTCCTCCCTCCTTCCTTCCTCCCTCCTCCCTTCCTTCCTCCCTCCCTCTCTCCCTCCTCCTTTCTCCCCTCCCTCCATCCTGCCTCCCTCCTCCCTCCTCCCCTCCCTCCTCCTTTCTATCCTCCCCTCTCTCCCCTCCCTCCTCCTTTCTATCCTCCCCTCTCTCCCCTCCCTCTGTCCTCACTCCTTCCTCCACTCCCTCTTCCCTCCCCTCCCCCTCCCCCCTCCTTCCTCCCTCCCCTCCCTCCCCCTCCTTCCTCCCCTCCCTCTCCCTCCCTCCTCTCCTCCCCCTTTCTTTTCCTCCCCCTCCCTCCCCCTTCCTCCCCCTCCTCCTCCCCTCCCTCCCACTCCCTCCCTTTGTCCTCACTCCTTCCTCCACTCCCTCTTCCCTCCCCTCCCCCTCCCCCCTCCCTCCCTCCTTCCTCTCCCCTCCCTCCCTCTCTCCTCCCATCCTCTCACCCTCCTTCCTCCCTTCCTTGCGGGCACCCTCCTCCCTACCGTGCACTCAGGGGCTCTCTCCACAGCCTGGTGCTCGCTCCCTGTTTCCTCTCTGTATATGTGGTTTTCTCGTCTCACCCATCGGCCCTAGTGCTCCAGGAGCTGCAGCTCAGGTACTCGGAGACGGCAGGTTGTCTGTGCCATTGGGCCACCCAGCCACTGCAGGGGCCTGCAGCTGTGGAAGCCCGCCGAGGCGGAGCCCTGTAACACGCAGCCCTGCCACCTTCCTCCTGGTAAGGACAAGGAGGTGGGCCCGGCCAGACCTCCTTCCCATCGCAGACCCAGAGCTGCTCCGACTCTGGGCCTTAGGGCTGTCGGCCGGCCAACCGGAAGCTCTCCTCCCACGGCTCCCTCTGCTGAAGCCTTTGCCCCCCTGAAGTGCAGCTCTGTGCCCCGTCCTGAGCCAGCCATTCCCCCTCCGAGGCAGCATCCCTCGCCCACCCCGGCGCTCTTGGGTTAGTTTCCTGGGCTGCGGTGGTTGTATGTGGCTTGTGAGGCCTATTAGTCATCAGCTTCTTGAGGGCCGGGTCTCCAACTTCCTTGTTCCTGTTTGTACCCCCACAGGACTTTGCTAGCATGTCGTAGGTATTGGTGTTTGTTGAGTGACTGAGTGCAGTGGGGGGAGGTGGTCCAGGAAAGATTGTCCTTACACACTGCTTTTGCCTCTGTCTGTCCCCGCTCCTCTCCCTGTCCCCAATGGGAAAAAGGGTGTCCAAGGCATGAGGAGCTGCAGGAGGAAGGGCACAGAGGCCAGCACTTGCTTGGTGTGAGGATGTGATATTGAAGAAAGTGGTTTGGGCTAAGGTATGAGGGTGGCCTTCTGATACTGACGTAGGAGTGATGGGGCCCCTGTGAACTGTGATGGATTCCGGTGGAGGCACATGGTTGGGTGGCCAAGAACCAGTGGCCTGAAGTCAACAGCTAACCTGGGTTGGGTTCAAACCTCCACTCCATTGCTGACCAACCGTGTGACCCTGGGCAGCTGCCCCTCCTTTCTGATTCTCAGTTTGCCTATCTGTACAATGGGTTAGTAAGAGTGATTTCCCAGGTCTGTGTTGAGTCTCATGGCACAATGGCTGAGCACACAGTGCTCAAGAAGCAAAGCGTGGGTAGTGGTGGTAGTGAGGCTGTGTGGGGCCTCTGGGCCAGGCTCCGGGGCACCTCGGCCTGGCCCTGACCCTCGTGATGCATGAGCAGGAGGCTCCTCAGGCTCCCTAGAGCCACTCAGTGCCCAGGGCCTGGATACCTTCTGGAAGAGGTGGCCCTGGACCTGCCCCAGAGAGGCATTCACTTAGGTAGAGGGAAGGCAATGGAGAGAGAATTTCAGGCCAGGCTGAGTTGTTAAAGAAATAACCTCCATAGTGATTTTTACAATTACAAAAGTAATATATTCTCATTGTGGAAAATCTGAAGAAATTAGAAAAGTAATATATGTAGAGAAACTTAAACTGCCTTTGATGTTATCCAGTAGAGGCTTAGCATACTTCCCTGTGATGTGTGTGGTTTTATATCTGCTTTTCCCCCTTAACGCCATTTGGCAGGTGTGTGACCACTTTCTCGTCTCATAGCTTCCAGGAGTTCATGGAAGTGAGTGAGAACGGGTGAGACTTGTGAGTTGCAGTGGTTTCTGGGGGTTCGGGTACTGGAACAAATGCTGTAGTGCATCCTGGTGGGTGCCCAGGAGGAGGGTCCCGGGGTCCCAAGGAGGCCCCCTGAGGGGCGGTGTCCGAGTGGACACCCGGGCTCCCTGGGACCTCTGCTTCCTCCTCTCTCTAGACTCCTGAGCTGCGCTCACCAGTAGAAATAGAATGCCAGAGATGTCATTTAAATCTTTTATTTTTTTTTACCTTCTTTTTACACAAGATCTTTTAGAAAATTAAATCTTTGGATTCCAATATATAATTTATACTTATAGCACAACTCCTTTGGATGCTAACGTTTAACTGGCATATGTGATCACTGTTAGGATTTCACAAAATGTACAGTTGACCAAGTCGACTGACTACCCAAGTTGTTCCAGACATTCTGAGGTGTTTTCCTATAAATGAATCAAGCGTCAGCATTTAAATTTAAAATGTAGTCAATCCTAATGAAAATGTACAGCTCAGCTTCTCCATCACTCTGGCCGCATTTCAGTGTTCAGTAGCTGCCCTCGTGGGCGCGCGGGTGGGGGAGGTCGGGCGGGGCAGGGGGTAGGGGGGTGGGGGTGGGGGGGAGGTCGGCGGGCGCGCGCGTGGGGGGTAGGGGGAGGTGGGGCGGGGCGCGGGTGTGGGGGAGGTTGGCGAGGGTGGGGGAGGTTGGCCAGGTGTGCACTCTCAGGGTGCCCAGGGCCGCGCTCACATCTGCCCCCAGGGCCTGGGGGAGCCGCTGGGCGTTTTGGAGCCAGGCAGTGACGCCAGGAAAGCTATTTAAGAGGACAAACGGGCACCTGCCTGAGGGTCAGACTGAAGGGGCAGCAGTCAGGAAGCAGGAGCTTGGTGGGGAGCAGGCTGCAGAAATTCAGGCTCTAGAAAGAGCAACAGAAATGAAGGGGCAGGTGCTGGCCCAGCAGAGCCCGACGCCCAGAGCATGTGTGGGCAGGGGTCCTGGGCTCTAAGGGAAGCCAGAAAGATGGATGAGAAGAGTCACAGGGGAAGCCAGAGGCAGAATGGGCTTGGCAGGGAGGTGTGAGGGGACAGAGGGACTGCAGGCAGAGACCCAGGCGGGCTGGAGACTGCAGGCCCGAGAGACGTGGGTGGGAGGTTCCAGAACTGGTCGGGGCCTGAGTCTGCAGAGAGGTTTTGGCCTGGGTGGGATTGGCAATAACATGAAAACAAAGATTTGACTGCATATCTACTGAAGTTTTCCAAACCTAAATTATTACTTTTTAAATAGTCTCTGGGGACTGGTAAGATGTTGTGCATATGGGAATGGAATTTTCACTTATTTTTTTTTTTTTGTTATCCTCACCCGAGGATATTTTTCCACTTTTTGTACAGATAGAGTGGGAGGGAGAGAGAGGAAGGGAGAGAGAGAGAGAAACATCGACGTGAAGGGACACATCGAGTGGCTGCCACCCGCACGACCAACCAGGGCCGGGGACAAACTTCAACAGAAGTACGTGCCCTTAGCGGGAACCGAACCCGGGTCTCTACAGACCACAGACCGACGCTCTAACCGCTGAGCCAAACTGGCCAGGGCTCACTTATTTTTTATAATTTTATTCTATTATGTAGTAATGTGCTCATTGTGGAAAACTAAAAATACAAATGGAAGGGACCCCCTCCCCCATCCCACCCAACACACCCACCCACATGTGCGCACACACATGTGCACACACACACGCACGCATGCACACACACAGCACTCAGAAACTTCCACTATGAGCATTTGGGGTGTGTTCTGTCTTATTTTAGTTATCATTTAAAAAAAAATTCCTGCCCTGGCCAGTTTGGCTCAGCGGTTAGAGCGTCGGCCTCCGGTCCGGAGAGACCCGGGTTCGGTTCCCGCTAAGGGCACATACTTCGGTTGCAGTTTGTCCCTGGCCCTGGTTGGTCGTGCGGGTGGCAGCCACTCGATGTGTCTCTTCACATCGATGTTTCTCACTCTCTCTCCCTTCCTCTCTCTCCCTCCCACTCTATCTGTACAAAAAATGGAAAAATATCCTCGGGTGAGGATAAAAAAAAAAAATTCCTGTTGCCTTAATTTTCTTAGCTTTTTGCATTTTTCTTCAACATTTTACAATGAAAAATATTTTGAATAACTGTTGTGGTGGTTAAATATAATATACCATAACATTACCCCATTCTAATGGTGTAGTTCATGATTTTTAGTGAATTTACCCAGCTGGACAATATGATGGGAAATTCTAAATATAGAAAAGTCGAACTGTACAGTGAGGAGCTGTGTACACACCTTCTGAATTCTGCAATTAACATTTTGTTAAATTTGCTTTTTCATTATTCTCTTTCTGCCCTTTCCTTTGTCAATCCAATTACTTTTTTGTTTGTTTGTTTGTTTTTTGTTAATTCTCACCCAGGGATATTTTTCCATTGATTTTTAGACAGAGTGGAAGGGAGGGAGGAAGGGGGAGAGAGAGAGAGAAACATTGATTGACTGCCTCCCACACGACCCACACTGGGGCCAGGAATCAAACCTGCAATCCAGGCACACGCTCTTGACTGGGAATCAAACCCAAGACCCTTTGGTCCAAGGGCCAGTGCTCTAACCGCTGAGCCAAAACAGCCAGGGCAATCCAATTACTTTTAATATGGAATCTTTTCATTGAGATAAAATTCACATGACAGACGGTTAAACATTTTAAAGTGCACAACTTGGTGCTATTCGGTGGCTTCCCAGTGTTGTACAAGACCAACTCTCCCCCCCGTGATGGAAATTTCCATCACCCCGTGAAAGCATGTTGTACCTGCCTGTGACCTTCTCTTCCCCGGGAACCTGATCCGCTTTCGGTCTCTGTGAATTTGCCTACTCTGGACTTGATCATAGAAAAGGACTGGCTTCTTTCACTGCGTTGTGTGCACTGTGCTTCAGGGCCGAATAACTACCACATGGGTACACCACCGTCTGTGTACCCATTCATCTGCTGTTGCACCTTTGGGTTATTCCACCTTTTGGCTATCTAGTGCTGCTATAAACATTCATGTACAAGTTTCTGTGTGGACATAGGTTTTCATTTCTCTTGGGTGTGTGCCTAGGGACGGAATTGATGGACCATATGGTCACTCCATGTAACTTTCTGAGGAACTGCCAGACTGTCTCCATGTGGCTGCACCGGTTTATAGTCCCGCCAGCAATGGGGAGTTCAGGTTGTCCACATCCTCACCAACACTGTTATTTCAGATTTTTTATTAGCGCCATCCTAGTGGGTGAGCAGTGGCATCTCATCATGGCTTAGTTTGGCATTTCCTTGATGGCCAATGCGGTTGAACATCTCACATGCTTGTTTACCATTTGTGTATCTTTGGAAAAATGTCTGTTCAAGTTCTTTGGTCTTTTTTTTTTTTTGACCTTGCTTCTGCCATCGTTTATCTTATTTTTCAATTTTTATTAATTAATTTTTGTTACAGATGCTTCTCCTTTTCCCCCCCATTGACACCCTCCTCCCCATCCTGCGCCTTCCCCCAGCATTGTTGTCTGTGTCCATTGGTTACACACATGCATATAAGTTCTGTGGTTCACATCATCCCTCCCCCAACCCCCTCCTCTGAGGTCTGTCAGTCTGAACCGTACTCCT